ATGTATTTAGTAAAATCAGTTTATAGTTTGTGGTACTACTTTCTGTTACAAAGTAGAGAACACAAAGTGTGGTGTATGTGCGCATTGATATGCCTGCGCCTTTCCTTAGACTGGTTATTAAAAGTCAATTACTACAACTAAAGAAGGCGTCGTTACTTACCAGTTAAGTTATAAGAGAGAATATAACAGGTAGGTTGTGATGTTTAAATGATGCTCAGTTTAAGGGGCCTAAAGTGTGCTAATAAAGTATTTCCCACATTACACCACCAGCAACAGGAGCCTGAATTGTTGATACAATGCATGATGGTTCCATGCTTCTACATCATTCACACCAAATTGTGGTTCTATGATCTTGACGTTGAAGCAGAAATTAAGACTTGTCAGGCAACATTTTGACAATCTGCTGCTGTCCAGTTTTGGTGAACCCATGTCAACATCAGTATCTGCCTCAGTTTCAGTTTCAGTATTTTGGCTTTAAAAAGTGGTTATTTGGGTTACTGTTGCCTTTCTATCAGCTCAAAGCAGCCTGGCTATTCTCTTCTTAATTCTGAAATCAGCAAGGCAAAGAAATGGTGCTAACTGGATATGTATTAATTCTCAGTTCATTCTCTGTAAACTAGAGATTGTTGTGTTGAAAATCCCAGAGCAGCCCATTTGGTACCAACAACTATGCCACTTTTAAAGTCAATAAATCACCTTTCTTTGTAATTCTGATGCTCTGTTTGAACTTCTGCAGGTTGTCTCGACCATTTCTACATAACTAAATGCTGCCATGTGATTGGCTGATTAGCTATTTGCATTAACAAGCAGATGAACAGGTGTACCTAATGAAGTGGTCAGATAGTAACATATTTCTTGTGTATCTCGTCTGTCACCCTGTTCTCCTCTTCATCTTTTCTCATCAGCTTCCATCAAGTCGGTTCCAGTTTGCATTGTGGCATGGCCTGGAGCAGTGTGATGTCACAGGTGACCAGCTGACGTGCCCCAGGGTTAGAGAAGGTGTGTGGCTGATGTGAGAAAACCACCTCAGTAACCTAACCAGAGCAATAGAAAATAAATTGTAGTTTTCTAGCTCATGAACCGTTTTAGAAAACCTCTAAAGAAGCTGTGTCGCTGCCATTTTTGTGTTGCTTTCATTACTTGCGAGTCTCTTAATTTAGCTTCTTCACCAGATGAATAATAATGTGAAGATTGTTAAAGACTTTTAAAAATTTTTTTACATTATAATCAAAGGGCCATCAGAAGATGAGTTACATCTAAAAGAGAGGGGTGGCATCTGTTTGGAGAGAGGGAGGAGCAGGAGAAGAGAGGAACAAGGACAGAGATGGGAGGAGAGGCTTCAAGAGAACTGGGAAAACTGTCTGGTAAGCTAGCATGCAGGATATGTGTGGGTGTGTGATGTTAAAGATGTCATATATAGCACAGAAGAGCAAAGACATAGCTGCGGAAAGGAAAGAAGTGAAGGTGCAAACTGAGAAGAAGAGGAGGAGAGGGCAACAAAGATTGCTTCTGACACCTCTACCACCTGTCTCTTCTCAGGAGTTAAATTTGTCCTATCAGGACTTGGGTGATCCCTTCCAGCAAGAAAATTTCCTCCGAATCCTCCGCCGGTTGATCCGAGTGGAGAAACTTCAACTGATTGACAACTCCCTCACCAGCCTGAGTTCTGTACGTCTGCCAAGGTATGAAATGACACCCAAGCTGCAGCACAACGCCCTCATCTGGAACAGCTCCCTGGAGGAACTATGAATATTACATACTGTGAAATTCCAAATGGTTACACACACACACACACACACACACACACACAC